CCTTGGCTTCCCAGAATGCTGGGATTACAGGTATGCTCCACCAAGCCTGGCTCCATTTTTAGTTTTCTGAGGAACCTCCAATACTGTTCTCCATAGTGACCATACTAATTTACATTCCAACCAACAATGTACTGGGGTTTCCTCTTCTCTGCATCCTTACCAGTATCTGGTATTTTTGTCTTCTGGGTAACAGCCAGTCTAACTAGGTTGGACATATTTCACTGTGTTGTGAAAGGCAAGAGGGATGAGGTTCACAGGCAGAACTGTTCCCCACTGGTGCACAGTGGGCCTGGGGCTGCCGGCTAGGATTGGCTACCACATCCCCACTATGTAAAAGCAGCCCAAGGAGGGCCAGGCCACAGTGGGGATGGAAACCCTGCAGCACAGCACTGACAGCGACACCACAAGGCTCACCCTCCATCATCCCACACGGGGCTGCCCAGCCCCACGAGCAGCCTCATCCTCAGCTGCTTTCAAGCCCTCTCTGAGTTCCTGGAAAGCAATCTGACACCAAACAACAGAATAATCACTTCTGCCTGAGAAAATTAAAAGCAAACAAGTTATAACATTAAAAACACCACTTTTAGGGCCGGGGATTTAGCTCAGTGGTTCCGTTGCTTGCCTCGCAAGCGCAAGGACCGGAGTTCGATCCCCGGTACCAAAACAAACAAACAAACAAAAAAACCACACCACTTTCACTTTCTACTGTATTAGAACAAAAGTTAGTTTCACTGTGGTGGTGCACATCAGTAATCCCAGCATTATGAGAGGCTGAGGCAGGAGGATTGCAAGTTCAACCCCAGCCTGGAAAACTCTGTGACTTAGCAAGGCTTTGTTTAAAAATAAAAAAAATTATAAAGGGCTGGTGATGTAGCTCAGTATGAAGGGCCTGAGTTCAATCCCACTGCTGCAAAGAAAAAGAAAAAGAAAAAGATAGACGTGTGATAGAGCAGAAATGGGAAGTGTTTATAGACTTTTTTTAGACAAAGTAGGCAGTGGGTACACAAGTGCTCACAGTAAAAGTCCATCAATCTTCGTGTATCTTTGAAAGTTTTCATTTAAAAATGACATGAACGGCCAGGGATTTAGCTCAGTGGTTCCACCACCTGCCTCGCAAGCCAAGGACCCGAGTTCAATCCCCGGTACCAAAATAAATAAATAAATAAAAACAAAAATAAAAAAGACATGAAATGCTGGGAATGGTGGTGGTGCACCCCTGTAATTCCAGCAGGTAGGAGCCTGAGGCAAGAGGATCACTGTGAGTCCGAGGTCAGCCTGAGCTACACAGTGAGTTCAAGTTCAGTCTGGACTACACAGCGAGACCCTGACTCAAAAACAAAAAACGCAACAAAAAATTCTGTATAAGATGGTCAGGCCAGATGGTGCGTACCAGCAAGCTTAAGAGCTCAACACAAAAGACCTACATGCTAACAAAACATTCATTTTTCTCCTATCCTAGGGCAGGCTACAAAGGCTCCATACCAGTACCTGAAATACATACATTCCGAATGTTAAAAGCTGGATTACACTGAATTACAGAACTGTCTAAGGTTTGTTATACCTTTGATTATCACAGAGCCCCGACCTTGTGGATGATATTGTGGACAACAGAATGAGCTAGACTAAGTACTCCAACGTTTCCTTTGAGTTAATTAACAGGCTGTGGGCCGGGGATTTAGCTCAGTGGTTCAATCTCCTGCCTCGAAAGTGCAAAGCCCTGAGTTCAATCCCTGATACCAGGAAAAAAAAAAAAAAAAAAAGGAACAGGCTGTGGGGGTAAGGGTGGGCAACAGGGGAATGAATATGATCAAAACATATTATACAGGCCGGTGGTGCACATCTGTTATCCCAGCACTCAGACGCTGAAACAGGAGGGTCACCGGGAGTTTGAGGCCGACCTAGCTACATAGTGAGACCCTGTCTCAAAAAACGAAAAAAAAAAAAAAGATTAAAAAGATTATATACATTAAACCCCTCACCCTGGTGTGAAACCGTAGAACAGGTGTAGCAAGGAGGCAGTGGGGGGGGGGTGTCAAAGTACGATATGCATGTACCTGCCAAGATGAAACCAATTATTTTGTAATGACCAATATGGACTAATAAAAATGTAGTGTGGAAAAATCGACTATGGGTCCAAAGTCCGAACCATGAGGAGGGCTGCGGGGTGCAGCTCAGTGGTAGGGCACTTGCCCGGCCTGCACGAGGCCCTGGCCTGTCCCTGTCACCCCCAGAAAGGTAAGGTGCCTTTGGTCCCTTTGCCTTGGGGACTGAGGCCCTCCCCAGTCTGGACCAGAAGGGCCTCCTCCTCCACCCAGGGGAGAAGGGTGAGAGAACTGAAGGATGCTTCAGCACCAACCACAGTGGCTCTCCAACCACTCATGGCTCTGCTCTGCCCGTCTTCCCCAGTGACCTCTCAGGGATGTTTCTAGTCTTTCTAATCCCTCTCCCCATGAAAGTGTAATAGCACAGAGAAACAAACCACAGTAACCACTTGAGATTCTTCTGCCCCCCCAAAAACTGGTTTGCACTCCACAGGGGATATCACCCTACCCAGGACATGTGTTCGGATGTACTGAGAAAAACCTGCCAAAACCTGTTTAGTCCCCGGGAGGAGGTCGCACAGAAGGAGAACGGGCAGAGACACTCTAAGGTCCCTGCAGACGTCTGCACTGCTTGCACATCTCTCAGTGTGGATCATCCATGCGTTAACAGAGACATCTAGAAATGAGCCAGAGTGGGGTGAATGCATGCAGAGATGGGCCACATCTTCGCCCTGGACTACTACTCAACAATAAAAGCAACAAACGACTGCCACTCAGCAGCACAGGTGATGCTGCAGCGCCCTGTGCTCAGACAAAGAAGTCAGGCGCCACAAGAGTCAAGAGCTAGAGGGACTCACAGTCAATGCACTGTGAGTGACAGGGAGATTCGGGGGATGAGGGACTGGTTTTAGCCTGATGTAGGTGAAATTACACAGCATTTGTCAAAATTCTCATTCTATACCAAAAAAATTCTATTACATATTTATAATTTTTTTAATAATCTAAATAAGATGACAAAGTGAAGCTATGCAAAATCTTTCCCTTCCACTAACATAACTAACTTTAGGATTTATTTTTACAATATAGATTATCTCAGATATTTTGGTTTTTTTCATACCAGGAATGGAACTCGGGACCTTGCGCTTGCGAGGCAGGCGGCGGAACCACTGAGCCAAATCCCTAGCCCTGTTTTTACAATATAACAACAAAACCCGACAAAATCTCCACAGATTGGAAATGAGGCAGAAACCAGGGGGATCAAGGGCTGTGTATATCGGCCAAAGGATGCTGCATCCAGAAGGTGCTAGGAAGAGATCACACTCCTAAGGCAAAGAGGACGCAAGCTCCTCTGGACAGGGCTGAGGCGGGAAGCCCAGCTGGCTCACTGGTCTTTCACCATAGACAGAGACCAAAAGCCCCAACCAGACACAAAGATTTACCCAGCAACTGGCTCAGTGGGAAGGAAATGCCTATTTCTAGTTGTGGGCCCTGGAGAATGAGCTGGACAGACACGGGTAGAGTTCTTCCAGGCAAAACAACACAAAATGACAGGGGCAGAGAAAGAAGTCAGGAAATCTGCATACAAAGAAACAGGACACGATGGACAAAACCTGTGTCTGGTCCACCAGGAAGCTCCCACGCTTCCCGTGGGGGACACCAAGCTTACAAATCCACATCCCAGGACTAGTGAAACACAGGGCCAGCAGCTAAGTCCTTCCGTGGACACCTCAAGTGCTGGGCCTTCGGCTGGGCCACACATTCCCCTCTTCCCCTCTGACGTGCGCTTCGGGCTGCCCAGCCCTGGCCTTCTAACAGGCAGCTGAGAGCACACCAGGGTTACAGCCGCACAGTCACCTTTACTAACGGCATCTGTACGCTGAGATCCCTACCAAATCCACTTGCTTTAGGAAATCGTTTTTTAATTTTCTTCTCCAACGGATATATATTGATCACTCACTATACCAGAGACTAACCCACTGAGAATTTAACTGAACTAAACACAACACAGTTCCTGAGCCCAAGGAGGGAAGAATCCAAGTGCGACAGAACAAGAGGAACGCGGTAGGAGCTGCTGCTGCTGCTGAGCAGAGGCAGAAGGGCCCTCTCTGGAGAAGATCCCCAGGTGAGGGTCTGGGCAGAAGCAAAGTGAGCCGAGTGTGAACCAAGAGGCCGTGGAGGCGGCGCGAAGCCCTTCGGAAATCACCTCAGGGGCAACAGGAGAGCTCTAGGAGGAAGATCGAGGGCCTGCACCACCGGGGCTGCGCGGGTCTGAGAACGCAGTGGCAGGCGCGGACGGTCCGAGCGCCACCCGGAGACCCTGTATTTCGGTCCGGTTCGGTTTCTAGTGGAAGCCGAGGCCTTGCCGGGGCAGCCCCATCGCGGAGCCACACCCCCGGCCACTGAGAGTCGCGAGCGGGGCGACCGCGCCCGGCTGGGCACAGAACCGCGCCGCGGGGCCTGCGGAGAGACCGGGCCCGGCTGCCGAGGATCCGGCGCGCAGGACGGGACCGAGCAGGCCCGGCCACGCGAGGCCGGCCGCGCCCTGGCACCTGGGAGGATGTGGCGACCCTGCGCCCGCCCCGGCGACGCAGCGACCCCGGGCTCCCGGGACGCTTCTGTGTCGGGCGCGGTGGCGCGGGAGGCCGGAGAGAAAGGACCACTCGAGCCCGGGACGGCGACGGCGCGAGACCCGAACCCGAGCCAGCGCGCGAGTCGCCAGCCGAGCGTCTCGTTCCTCCGCGCCGGGCAGTATGAGGGTCCCGCAGAACCCAAACCACTGCCCGGCCCCGGCCCCGGCCACTGAGAGCGCGGCCGGCCGGGCCCCAGCCCCGCGACAAAGCGCCGCCGCGGCCTGCTCCTGACACGACGCGGCGGCGAGGCTGAGGGGCCGCCCACAGTGCCTCGGGGCCGCCCGGCCTCCCGCCCGCCGCTCCGCCGCCGCTCCGCCGTCGCACTCACCGGGGCCTCAGGGCCGCGCTCTGCCGCGTCGAGACGGCGGGAGGCTCGAGCGCGCCTCAGCCGCTCGGCGCATCCGGGTCCGCGGCGCAGGAAGCGGCGGCGCAGCGGCTACGGCAAGCGGGAAGGACGCGCGGCGCCCAGGCTGGTGCGGCCTCCCTCCGCGAGAGGGCGCCAGACGCCGCAGCGCGGCGGCGGGGTCGGCGGCGGCGGGGAGGTAGAGGCCGCGGGGAGCGGGGCAGTGCGGTGGAGGCTGCTCCGGGCGCTTGGGGCGCGGCCGCGTCGCTGTGGGTGGAGCGGTGGCCTCGGCAACGCCGGCAGTCGGAGGAGAGGCTCAGCGGGTTCGGAGAGCCAGGGCGCGACCGACGAGGCCCGGCTTGACCAGCCCGTGCCGGGCTCGGGCGGGCTCGGGCGGCTCGAATGGTACTGGACGTTCGTATCCGCCGGCCGTACGGTGTAGGGTTGTGGTCGCCGCTCAGGAGGCTGCGCGAAGGCCTGTGGTTGGCAGCCCGCACGTCAGGTGGGCTAGTTCCCAGAGTCGGGGCGCTCCCTGTGTCCCCACGAGGTCTCAGCAGCGCGTTCCCAGCCCAAGTGCAAAGCCCAGACACCCGCCCAAAGTCGAGTGCCTCGGATCCGACAGCGGAGTACTCAGCCAGGAAAAGGGGGCAAAGTCCTGACAGCGCCACCATGTGGATGACCCTGGAGAGTCGCTCTGAGGAAAGAGCCACACGCAGATGGCCACAAGCTACAAAGGCAGATTCACAGAGGCTGGGGGCCTAGGGGTGCTTGCCAGTGAAGGTGGTGTAATGTTTGCAGTTTTGTGAGTTTACTAAAAGCCACTGAATCGTACACTCTTGCGGTACTGGGGACTGAACCCAGGGCCTTCGCACAGAGCTACATCCCCAGTCCTTGGTTAATTTTTTTTTAGACAGGGTCTTGCTAAGTTGCCCAGGCTGGGCTGGAATTTGGGATCCCCCTGCCTCAACCTTCCAGACTCCTGGAATTATAGGCGGCCCAGCTACTGAATTTTGCATTTTAAAACAGTGACTTTTAAAGCCCAGTGTGGTTGCACACGCTTGTAATCCCAGCATTAAGGAGGCTGAGGCAGGAGGATCGCCTTAGCACCACAGCTCAGGCCATCCTGGGCAATACAGCAAAAGCAAGTCTCCGAAAAAGAAGTGAAATTAAAAAGGTGTTGTTTAAATGAGCAGTGTAGGCTGAGGGCAAAGCATGTGCAGGGTAAACTTCAGAGCAAGGGAGGCACCTTGGTGGTGAGGATGAGCAGGGACTGAGAATGAAAGGGCCAGACCCCTGTTCGGTGCAGAGGCAGGCGGGGACATGGGGTCAGGGCAGGGACTGGGAGTTGGTGAGCACCCCAAAGACCCTGCCTGCCCTGCTCAGCCACACCCACCCACCCACTCCCTGCCTGCCCTGTCTTCCCCACTCTGCAGTGTCCCAGTCTCCTGACAAGAAACACAAGAAAAAGGAAATGGAATTGCTAAGTAAACATATTTATTTAATAAGAAAATCTCGGCACTCCAGAGGCTGAGGCAGGAGGATCGCCACAAGTTCAAGGCCAGCCTGGGCTACATAGTTCAAAGGCAGCCTGAGCTAAACAGTGAGACCCTGTCTCAAAAAAAAATATCTCTGGGCCAGGGACTTAGCTCAGTCGTTTCGTCGCCTGCTGCGCAAGTGCAAGGAGCAGAGTTTGATTCCCGGTACCAAAAAAAAAATCTCTTCTTTAAAAAAATAGCGCATACCTGCCAAGGGGCACGCACAGATGCACCAACGGTAAGGCAAGGTGTACTGTGATGGCGTGGTCCTGAGGTTGTGCAGCCAGCCCAGCGGGCAGGCCTGGAGTCCTTGGCTCTAGGGTCAAGAGGCATGTGCATCCCCACAGGCTCAGTCTGCGTCCCCGTCGCTGCCATCCACCGGGCTAGGGGCCTGCAGGACAAGGAGACAGGAAGAACTGTAGGGCCAGCACTGTCCCACCTGGGGGCACTGCCAGGAGTCATCGCCCCACCACCAGGTCCCACCCGGAGTCCTGACCCTTCTCATTCTAATACTATATTGGGTAGTCAAGCCAGGCAGGGCAGCGCAGGCCTGTCGTCCCAACACTCAGGAGGCTGAGGCAGGAGGGTCACCATGAGTTCAGGGTCAATCTGGGCTACATCGCAAGTTCAAGATCAGCCTCAATTCAAGAAAATAAAAACCAAAAAAATAAGTTAGGCAATGGAGCAGGCACCAGGTCCCTCCCAGAGGCCCAGCACTGCACTGTGCTGCACTGAGCAGACCCCACCTGCTGGGGCAGCACCCCTACCTGGGAGCCTGAGCCTGTGGTGAGCGAGGTGGTGCTGAAGTTGTGGATGTGCAGGGTGCTGAGCCACTGGGCCATGGAGCGCTCATGCCGCTCGGTGCTGACGATGGAGGGGTAGATGTGCTGCTCCTTGAAGGCCACCACCTTGGCTTCCTCCTGCACCCAGTCCAGCGGTTCGTGCAGCCCGTCCCCACCGAAGCGCTGGTTGTACGTCTCGAAGTGCACCCGCTCCAGCACCAGGCCGAGCCCTGGTGCCTTGGGCACATCCACCTTTGCCTCGCCCCAGCTGCACGCCAGCACACTCTCGGGGGCATAGCCCTTCACGATGGCCACCACCAGCCCCACCATCTTGCGGATCTGGTGCATCATGAAGCTCTGGCCTTTCACCTTGATCACGGCAAACTCCAGGCCCTCGCGCTCGAAGGGTGGCTCACAGTACATCTCCAGCACGTAGCGCCGTGCGCTGGGCTCGTGCGGCCCCTTCTGTGAAGTGAAGTTGTGGAAGTTATGGGTGCCCTTGTAGCAGGCCAGCAGCCGGTTGACCTGCTGCAGCGTCTCGGCACTCAGGCGGTATGTCTCATCCTGCACATCCCGGTCCTTGTGGGCAAAGGCGAAGGTGGGCAGCATGTAGAAGTAGGTCCTGGCATCACACTTGTTCTTGGAGTTGAAGCCGCCTGTGACCCTCCTCAGCCCTGGGGATGGAGATGTGCAGGTGAGCAGAACCAGAGGCAGAATCCTGGGCACTGTGAAGGCAGCACCACTCACCAACATTCATGGAACCCTGGGCCCGTGCAAACCCAGACCCCAGAGAAACCCAGACCCTGGACAGACACAGGCTCCGTCATGACCCGAGTTGGTGGGGGCGTGCAGAAATAAACCCACCACACCACACCACACCACAGCCCTGGTGTGGACCAGACACCCGTCACCATGCCCACAATCCTGAGCCTGGGGAAGTACTGCGAGACCCAGGGCTCCCCGGCCGACACTGCTTTGCAAACCACAGCGACACAGTTTCTCACAGCACCAAGACTTGGACACAACCCCAGAGGCCCTGAACAGAGCCGGCCAGATGATCCCAACAGAGCAGGAGCAGAACAGCAGCCAGAAAGGGAGCCTGGCGCCCCCAGCACGGGACCGACTAGGCTGTCTGTGGCACAGTCAGAGTGGGCTTGGTAGCACACATTTCCAGGTCCAGCCACTCCAGAGGCTGAGGCAAGAGGACTTCATGTTTGAGGCCAGCCTGGGCAATTTAGCAAGACCCTATCTCAAAAATATAAGAAAAGGCTGGGAATGTAACTCAGTGATGTAGTACCTCCTTAGCAGACAAGACCCTGAGTCCAGTCCTCATAACCACCAAAAAAAAGAAAGGACAGAAGGAAGACTTGTATCCAGAGGATCCCACCTATTGTGTCTGCACAGATTTCTAGAATAGGCAAGAACTACAAGGTTGGGTGCAACTCAGTGGAGCCCTGCTGGGCATGCACAAGGTCTCAGCTTCCCACCCCTGTGCCACAAAAAATGCCACTGTTGGTGGGGCTTGGGACTCTGCCGAGGCTCAGGGCGGGACAAACAGAGCTCCCACAGGAGACAGGCAGGCTGTGCCCCACTCCCCTTGCGTGGAGTCTGCACCCCATGACAGCTTCTCGCTTCCTAGGACCAACCTGCCTCATGAGTGACAGGCAGCAGGTGCCCCACAGCACAGACCCACCGGGCACGTGTTCTTTTGTGTGCATTGTCCTGTTTGTGCGGGTGCCTCCACCCTTGGTGTCCTATCCTGTGTCAAAGATCAGCATCACAAACCTCATAAGGACACCCCAGGAGGACTTCTGTGGTCCTGGACTAACTGCTACAGAAGGGCTGAAAAGCGCCAGCGGACGACCTGGTGTGGGCCACAGTGCAGGTCACGACCTGTGATGCCTCTCCAGCCACAGGACACTAACCACTGAGCAGCCATGCGGGACTTGGCTGTTGGGCAGCCCTGGGGCCCCTGCACATGGATCGTGCTCCCAGAGGACTGACACCCAGGAGCCCTCTGAGGGGACAGGCCTGCCCCAGGGTGCAAAGGCCATGGGGGGACAAAGAAAACCATCATTAAGGTGTGGCATGCACACCTACCGTCCCTGCTGCTTGAGAGGCTGAGACAGAGGATCGGAGTTTGAAGCAAGTTTGGAGTACAAGTTTGAGCCCATCCCAGAAAAGAACCAGAGAGAGGAAAGAAAGAAAGAAAAAGCCCCGTGTTACAACTGGCCTCTTTGGCCGAGAGGCTTTTTGTCCCCATCTGCTCCATGGCTGGTCCCAGAGGACACGGGAAGACACGTTCCTCTCTGCCTCCACGTCCAGACACCCTGCAGGAACAGGGCACATGTGGCCCGTGTTTCCCTGAGGCTCTCAGCGAGGCTCACCCAGGATCCGGATGTGGGAGGGAAGGTGGCTGTTGATCTTGTCCAAAAGGTCCTCAATCAGCCACACTTTCAGGGACACGACCTGGCCTGCTGCGGACACACCCTGTGAGACAGGAGAGTGGGAGGAGGTGGGTCCCCGGGCAGCCCTCACACAGGCTCCACTGCAGAGCTCTCGGGTGACCTAGGTCGGGCACCAGATGGAAACAGCCCCACGTGAGACCTGACTCCCAGCAACTCCAAAGAAAAGGCGCCACATAGACAGGACTCTGAGGCAGCAAGGGATGGCTCCCGTCTGTGTCACGAGAGGGTGAGAGGCCCCAGGGTTGGGTGATGGGACACGGCTCGTGGTGAGGCCCTGGGTTCGATCCCGGGACAACATTCTCGTTTCTCAGCCCGGTGCTATATGCACCCATCCAACATCAGTCTCGGAAGCTTCTACTCCTCGAGTATTTCCTAATTGCAAGAAAGCAAATAGGAGAACCAAGCCATCTCTAATGGCAGTGGAAATAATATGAAGTGTTTAAGCCAAGGGCCCTGCCTTGAAAACAGGTACCAGTGGAAAAATGAAAAAGTAGAAGGTGGTTCAGAGCCACATAGCAGTCTCTGCCCTGGGCCATGGCCCTGGTGGGATTGTCCTGGGGGAAGAGGGCTTGGAGCGCAGCCTGCCTCCTCACTGCCACTCCGAGGCTGGCCTGGCCTCTGATCGGACCAGGCCGGGCCAGGGTCCTGGGAGACAGAGGCATCAGCATCACGGCCAGGGGTGGTGGTGGACGCCTGTGATCCTGGCTTCCTGTGTGCTGCAGAACTGCAGGCTCACGCCCCTGTGCCCCATGGCCCCGCACATCCCCTCAGGTGACACAACTGCAGCCCTAGGGGGCCACCTGCCCACGCAGGCCCTGTGGTCCACACCCAGGCCCAGGTATGTGAAGTGGGAGACCTATCAGCATGGGCCACCAGATGGCCAGCAACTGAGTCCACGATGGACGTGTAGGCCAGTGTGGCGGGGTGCTGAGTGGGGAGCGTGTACTGTAAAGTGCACCCCATTTGTGGATTTTCACATTCAGTGCACGTGGAAATGAGTACATGCTGGATATACTGGGTTTAAAAAGTTGACTGTGAAAACTAATTTCACCTCTTCTTTCTTCATGGCTGCTAGAAAATGAACCAGCACAATCGGGGCTCGTCTTTGTGGCCGCACGACCCCATCTGCACTGGGGGCTGATGTGGGCGGATCCCCTGTAGGGGCCGGGCTAACAAAGGCCAGCGCTGGCAGACACGGCCCTGCCATGCGGATCCAGCTGCGCCTGAGCTCATCCTGCCCCTGGGCCTCTGGCCACCCGACACCCCATTCCAGTCAGGCACTGCTGCATCCTGCCTCTGCTCTCCGCACCCTAGGAGGCTGACACACGGACACTCAGCTGGAGGTGCCACCCACCTTGTCTGTGCGGGCGCAGCGCTGGAAGGACATCTTCCGCATGTCCTCGCCGTGACTCTCAGGGATGCAGCCGGCCCGGACCAGGGCAGACACCAAGTCATCTTCGATTGTCTTGAATTTCGAGGACCCCGAATTCCTCTGGAGAAAACACCAGGCTGTTTCTGCCAAGTCCTCGCAGCCAGGGGCCAGGTGACATGGGCCGCATGCCCTGCTCAGGACGAGGTCTGTGGAGCACCCAGGCCCGAAACACCGTCCCTGCCAGTGCCCCTGTGGGAAACCGCCCACCAGGCTGGGCTGCTGTCCAGGCTTTTCCTGAACCCTCAGCTCACAGGCCCGAATGCAGCCTCCCGGGATGGACACACCCTGGGAGGGACAGGCTCTGTCCACAGGTCAGTACCCTGCGCCTCAGCCTGGCCAAGCAGAAACTCAGGGACAGTGACACCTGCTGCCCTTCTGAGGGGGCAACAGTGGTGGGAACCCTTCCCAAAGTCCAGCTGCAGGCTCCTCCAGCGGTCCAGTCCCTTCACTCAGTGTGAAACCATGAACACTTTTCAAACGGAGTCAGGAATAGTACCCCCATGGTGAGCCGGTCACCACCCACTCTTCCCTAACAAGGAACTGAGGCAAAGAAGCTGATGAGAGAGTTTTAAGGCAGTGCTTACAGCACACACCTTACATACTCAGAATCACTCTCAAAAAGTGTAAGTCACCCAGAGAGCAGTGGAGGGGATCTGTCTGCCCCACCTAAGGTTTAAGGCTAAATGAGACTAAAACATTTTCCAACCTATAGTCACCATCGATCGGCTGCCAGGAAATTGGTTTTATGGCCAGGCGTGGTGGTGCATCCCTGTGATTCCAGCACTCTGGGAGCCTGGCGCAGGAGAATTGCAACTTGGATCCCAGCATGGGCAACTTAGTGATTTAGCAAGATCTTATCTCAAGACAAAATAATAAAGGGTTGCAGATGTAGCTCAGTGCAAAAGACCTGGGTTCAGTCTCCAGTACAGTTACTTTTTAAAAGTAAAATAATTATGAACTGTTCTGTTACCAATACTATTCATAAATAAAAATTACTCAGACACCTAGCTGGGTTACACATTCCTAAACTGTTATTTCAGTGGGATCCTGTTTATAGCCAGGAACTTGGTCCTGTGAAGTTCAAAGAACGTGAAACTTGGGAACTGAGGCAGGACGATCCCTGAAAGCTCAAGGCCAGCCTGGGGTACACAGACCCTGTCTCAACCCTGCCCCCTCCAAAAAAAGAACCTGGAACAAGGGAGTGCTGCAGGGGGACCCAAGAAGAAAAGAGGCCTACCTGCTCTTGTGGGCTCCAATCAGGAAAGGGTCGGCTTGGTGCTGGCTGCACAATCAAGGGTGCCCACACCTCCCTGCTGCTCTGCCCACATGCAGAGCACCGCCCCCGAGGGCGTGTGCTCAGTCTTCATACTAGTAAGCCTGGCCAGCTCAGCCTGTCCAAGAGGGGACATGCATTCCCATGCAGATCTGCCTGCTGGCCCAGAGTCACACACAGGACAGCCACTAGCCAACCCTGACACCTGTGGAGACGCCTGGGTGCTGTGCCAATCAAACCCCCACCTGGCATGATCTCTCACAGAGCAGAGTTTGATGAAAGTGGCCTGGACTCAAACCTAAATCTTGGCAGCTGGGCCACCGACTCCCATTTGCTGGGTGGCCCCTTCTCTGAGGTCCCCCTGTGGAGCGGAGTTAGTGGGATGCCGATCCTCACCTGCATGCCGTGGTAGCCCTTTCCCGAGTAGGCCATGAGCAGCACGATCTTGCGCTTGGGCAGTTTTCGCGGCGGCTCGTCGACCTCGCCGCTGCGGAGCCTCTTTGGGGGATTCTGCCCCTCCTCCCAGACCCAGCTCCCACCAGCCTTCCTGTGCGGAGGGTGCGCAGCCGGCGCGGGGGGAGCCTCCTTCCCGGCCATCAGGGACGGGCTGGGAAGACGGGAGAGGAGAGCGCGGGGCCAGTCGGGCCACGGGGCACAGAGCGGCTGGCCGTGCGCAGCTCAAGCCCAATCCAGCCCTCGCCAGAAGCTCGCCCCGGGGGCCCCACCTCGGCCTCTCATGGGGACTGGACTCTTGGAAAGGCCAGCGCAGTAGGCAGTGCCAAGTAGCTGGGTTGGGAGCATGCGGGGCGGCGGGCGTTTACCAGCGGATGTGCAGGCCAGGGCGCGCTGTCCACCTTTCCCAGGCTCTCAGCAGCGCAGCCCGCAGGCTGGAGACGCCCATGCGAGGCGGGGTACGGGCGCCGGCCTTGACCTCCCGGACCCCTGTCGAACTCTGACCTCCGACCTCCTTGGGACCCCTGGCACCTCTACCCCGCCCAAGGGCCCAGGACTTCCCGCCGACTTCCGGGACTCCCAGGTGGATCTCGGACCTGCCCGGCTCCTTCCCCCGCCCCTCCCAGGGGGCCGTGGTCGCGAGTCAAGGGTCTGGTCCGCTCGTGAGGCCTGGGAGTCGCGCCAGCCCCAAGCACGGCGCCACGGACACAGCCTTAGCCGACCACGTGGGCGAGGGAGGAAGTGGGCGCGCCTGGACGGCGGCCGGGCGCAGACAAAAGTCCCGGGGAGGGGCGGGGATTCCCGAGCTGCGCAGCCGTGGACGGGGGTGGGACTAAATCGTGCGGCAGAGGCCGAGACCACGCCCGAGGCTTCAGGGTGAGTCAGTCCTCCGCGGCGAGCACGCGTTGGGTCTTCCACGCTTCGTCCCCGTTGCTGGGCCGCGGGCGTCCCGACGTCCGATCTTAACCCTCAGGGAACCGTCGTGCCGTCCTGTGGCCGGCCCATGGGACGGGAGAAAAGCCGAGTCAGAGCGGTGCGGTGACTTGTCCTGGGTGACACCCAAGATTCAGACAGTGCTGAGGGTGCCCCGGGGCCTGGTGCTTCCAGGTGAGCCGTGCAACACCGAGCTGCACCCCGGACCCCCACACACACTACGCCCTGCCAGCTTCTTATTTGCTTCAGCAGGGATGGTACTAGAAACAGAACGAGATAACTTCCGTCCCCAGCATCGCCTGCACCGGAAAGGTTTGCTTCCCTGGGAAGCTCCCCGCATTGCTGTCACTCGCCAGCCCGGCTGACTCCAGGACAAGCAGGCCCTCACAGGCCTGCTGTGGGCCGGACTGCTGCTCCGCGTCTGACAGCATCCTCAACCTGCGTTCCATCAACTCCTGTTACTTAGAGAGTAGCCGATCTCCATGCCCATCCTTGCATCGCCCTCCAACCCTCCTGTCTCCTTTTCCCCTATGAAGGCTCATGGGGTTCCAGTCACCACTACTCATCTCTGCTCACCTGACCAGTCTTGAATCGTGAGCAGTGGAGAGAAACCTGTTCCAGGCCGGGTCCAGGGCGGTGCAAAGGCTCAGGCAGGAGCATACAGGCTCCTTCCTGTGGGTGGAGTCTTGGGGCTGGGCATCCAAGTGGAGTCTGCAGATAAAGAAACCACAAGGATGCCTGGTGATGGAAGAAGTGTTGGGGACAAGGCCAGGAGCCAGGGGCCTCATGGGCCACAGTGGCCTTGCTTGCCTGATGGATTGAGCCCTGTCCAGGAGCACTCAGTGGCCCTTGGGTGGCCTGGGCAGGAAGAGAACTGGACCCCGCCACCTGTGCTACAGGACCCCCAGGGGAGCTCCCCCCTCTCCCCACAGATGGGGCCACTGCCAGGCAGCTAAGCTACTCTTAGCCAGTGGCCAAAAGTGCTGCTCCAGGAGAACAGTCAATGCGTGCACTTCCCCAGCCCGGCACAGCCATACGGCCCGCAAGTGCCGGGCGCAGGGACAGAATTCCACGCCAGGTGAGCCATCACCAGCAGGCCCTGGCCTTGTGTCCCCTCTGGTTTGTCATCAGAACCCTAAGCACCCAACAGGTCACGGGCCAGGTGTCAGGATGAAACAGTACCAAGACACCCTGCCCATTTGCTGCCACAGGCCACGCACGGGGCACTGCGACTCACCCCTGTCTGATGACAGTAAACAGGCACGTGGGGATCAGGACGGAGGCTGAGCAACCTGCCTGAGTCCTGCCTCTCAGGGGCACCCAGGAGTGGGCGGATACCCAAAGGACTGGAGGGTCCTGACTGTTGTTTGGAACCAGCAAGCCACCACAGCTGGCTACCGTGGAGGCCTAGGAAGCGAACAGGTGGCGCACACATCACCACACACCTATCAGAACCAGTGATTGCACAACCCCCAGCAGGAGCCCCGGCGTCAGCCAGGGCTTTGGTGACCACAAGGCAAGGCTGTTGCGCCACAGGACCCACACACATTAGCGGGGAGACAGGCCCGAGTTCTCTGCACTTCCCTCAATTCTGTAAACCTAAGACCACTGTAAAAGGGGCCAGGGATTTAGCTCAGTGGTTTCACCACCTGCTGTGCAAGCGCAGGGACCGGAGTTCGATCTCCGGTACCAAAAAAAAAAAAAGACCACTGTAAAAAATAGTCCACTGGGGCTGGGGATTTAGCTCAGTGGTTCCGCCACCTGCCTTTAAAGCACAAGGTCCCGAGTTCGATCCCCTGTATCAAAAAAAAAAAATAGTCCACTAAGGCAGCACCCAGAATGTCAGGCACGAGGGGCTCAGCCTCTGGGAGGGGCAGCTGCCAGGAAACACGCATGTGCTGTGGGCTGTTCGGAGCCAGACTTCCCAAGCAGACTCAAGTTCTCACCTCTCTGTGAACTTTTGTTTCTGTGGTTGGCCTTTCTGGTAATTTAGTAAGTTATTTTTATCTTATAAAAACAATAGTTTAAAAACCCCAGCCCTAGCTGGGCATGGCAGTGCACACCTGTAATCCCAATACTTGGGAGGCTGAGGCAGGAGTATTGCCAGGAGTTCAAGACAAGCCTGGACCACACAAGACCATCTCAAAAAAAACAAAACAGATAAAAATACAAGCTCTCCAATACAATAAAAACGCAAACCAGCTGGGTCACAGTGGCACAAGCCTGTCATCTCAGCATTCTGGGGTCAAGAGGATTGAAATTTCCAGCCCAGCCTGGGCAACTGGCAACTTAAGCCCCTATGTCAAAATTTTAAAAGGCTGGGGATGTAGCTCAGTGGGAAGGCCCTGAGTTCAGTTCCCATCCCCCCCACCCTGCCTGCAAAGGCAAACACAATTCAAAAACGGGCAAAGGAAATTGCCATCAGATCGCTTGTTGCTGAGAATCAGAGGGTTTTAAATCGGGGTGGGGGCTTTATGGCAGTGGCCGAAGCCCCAGCTACTCCTGAGGCAGAGCTGGGGGAGCCCTTGGGAGCCTGGGAATTTGAGGTCAGGCCACAGACTGGAGACCTGGAGTCCTCAGGAAAAAAGGTCACATACGAAGGACCTGAAGGCTCCTGCTGCCAGAATACACAGAGCATGCACCCTGCGAGTGACCAGGGGTGGGAGTGGGGGCCCTTGTGAGGGACATGGAGTTCTCAGGGCCCACGTTCCCTCCCAGCATTGCCAAGAGAAGGAAGTGAGCACACTGGGGCCAGCACTCCGGAGGGCTGAGGAAGGAGGATGCCAGGTTCAAGCTGTGGGAGGCCTGAGCTCAGTCCCCAGGCAGAGGGAAATTTGGAGCCAGGTGTCCCGAGGGCCTCAGGCACTGCCACAGCCCTTCCGGCCTGTCACCCTGAGGGTGGAAGGACCTCTTCTGTGGGCTAGATAGAGCACGTGAATGAATCCTGCGTCCCCGCAGCTGCCGCTCTGGGGTTTGCTCCCAATGCCAGGCGGCCAGCATGGTCTCCACAGGGGTCCCAGGGCTCCTCGCCGTGCTGGGGCCAGCGTACAGGACGCAGTCAGGGGCAGGCCAGCCAGGAAGAGCAGTGACACAGTCAACAATTCCAAAGGTTTATTCCCACGTGTTACATGTGACAGGATGGGGACTCACACAGAACGCATTTAACAGACACAGCCAAGCTCTACCTCAGGGACAACAGGAGCTGCTTGCAGCATACACGGCTGGCCACACGCATGGCAGCCATGGGGAAGCCACTGGGAAGAGATGGGAGAGGCACCTCCCAAGAAGCCTCCCTAGTGGCTGGGTTCCAGCTGGCCATAAAGCAATAAATACTAACACATCACGTGCAGCACAGTGGCAGTTTCAAGTATTGCAAGGAAAACACATGTGTCCTGTGTAGCAGATGACCTCTGAACCCTCACGTGGGTGCCGCAGACCCACTGCCCCGCTCCTGCTCGGGGAGACATTCAAGTACGTTTGGGCTGAGCTGAGCTGCACCAGGCTGGGCACAGGCGTGAGCACAGGAACACTGACGGATTCTGCCTCTGTGGGTTTTTTTCCTGCTGCACAGAAAACCCTCCCCGACCTGCCCACGGCACCCAGCAGGGCATGGCGGCTGGGCACTGCCCGTCCTGCAGGGCATGGGGACAGCCAGCCACCTGACCTGGACACACATGCACACACTGGCAGGCGGCAGGCCTCACACATGCAGCCACAGGCTGGCACCTCGCACAGGAGAGTCCAGTCCACCCAACCATCCCAGGCTTCCCAAACAACGTGAAACACCTAAGAGTTTTAAAGAGAAGAGAAAATGAGCGGCAGAAAAATAAGACACATTTTAGGGGTAAAGTGTGAAAAGTTACATCTGGTCTGGGTCTAGAAAGCCCGGTGTTTCCTGTCCCAGGAAAACATTAAATACAAGGCCACTGCTCCTGTGGGCAGAGCCACTCTGATGCCCCGAGGCGCGCGCACGCACACAGTACACACACAGGTGCATATGTACAAGTGAGCAGCAGACGGTCCCCGCTGCCGGCGGTGACGCACTGAGGCAGGGTTCTCGTCGGTCTGCATAAAGTGCTTGGTGGGTTACGAAGCTGGACGGGTCTGGGGGACAGGGTCTGGGGGATAGGTCCCAGGGGGCAAGGGCCCAGAGGCTGTGCCCTTTCTTGGGTCCCATGGGCCAGTGACCGGGAGGAAGAGTTCGCTTTGGCTTAGAGTCAGCAACACTGTCTCAGCCCCACCGGGGCCCAAGGGCGGCAGCGCCCACGCACACCTGTCCACCACCTCCCAGGACCAGTGCAGGTGGGAGGTGGCCCGTGAGGACGCACTGCACCCGAGGTAGGAAGACGCCCTCGGGCTGGGATGTGGGAGCCATGCTGCTGTGGGCGCGGGCCACTGACCCGCTGTGTCCCTGCCAGGGTCCAGGCAGCACCTCGGCACCAGAGGTCAGCGCCGAGACCGCCAGCACCGGGTCAGGCACAGACTCCGGAGAGCAGGGCCGAGAGTCTCCGCTCGATGCACAGCTTGCCTGCGGGAACAGGTGTGTGAGCTGGAGGGGCACCAGCCACCGCCCCCACCCCACCCCCTGACATGCGCACTCACACTTGGCGATGTTCTCAACGTCAGCCTGGTCCGTGAGCATGTGCTGCAGCCCCTCCAGCAGCAGCAGGGCCTTGTGGTAGCGTGGCACGCAGCCTTCGTGGTGCTGGAACATCTCATCCAGGGCAGCTGACTGCACCTGCAGGCAAGGGCAGAGCTGGGCCCAGGCGAGGGGCTGATGGCCGCAATGGGCAGCCCTGGGCGGCACCTGGGGCACAGGTGGGAGGGCCAGGGGCCAGCGCAGCCTAGGCTGGCCCAGGAACAGGCAGCAGACCCAGCGGGTGGAAGCACAGAGCCCCCACTCAGGCAGGGCTGAGTGCCACTGCTGATGACGGGGCGGTGTTCGCTGGCGGCCACAGGATGGGAGCTGCAGGAAGCACAGCACCCCCCACCCAGGCCTCATCTACGCTGTGATCTGCTGCCACCTGTGAACCGTCCCTGGGCCAGACTGGTCCAAGTGGCCTGGAGGCCGGGCCTCTTTTTTGTGGGGGAAACTGAGTCTGCCCCGTACCATCTGCACAGCATGGCTGAGGATCAGCCTCTCAGCAGTGACGCCGTGGATGCCGTCCAGCAGCCGCTGCTTGTCCAGGAAGAAGCGCTGCAGCCGCAGGCTCAGGCCCTGGCAGGACACCACGCTGGCCTTGTACAGCTCGTTCAGCTTGCGCACCACTGTGGGGGGACTCAGTCAGCTCCCAAACTGGCGGGGACCAGGACACTGCGGGAGCGGGCTGTGCAGGTGGGGGCTCAGGGTGCCACAGCTGGGGGACTGAGGTCTGTGTCCAGCGGGCACAGGGCTGGGGGATCGAGGTCTCAGCACACACCAGCACTCTGCAGCCTCCAAGTGACCCACAGCTCCTCTGCCCACCCTCACCCTGCTTCACAGTGGACGACAGGCACAGCTTGCCCGCCCGGATGTGGTCAATGGCGGTGTGCAGGCCCGAGGACAGCAGCTCGGCCACCTTCAGATACAGCACCAGCTGCTCTGCGAAGCTGCAGGAGGCAGGCAGAGGGTGAACGATGGGCAGCGCCTGGCCCACCGGCCCCCAAGGCACCAGGGACACGCACCCCCACTCGCGGCTCAGCAGGCTGATCTGGTCGGCCACCTCGCTCTCCTGCAGCGGGCACTCGGGGCCTACGGCCGCCTCACCGGCGCTGCCCTTCAGCGCTGCGATCTCCAGCACGTGCTGCACGAACACCAGCGTGAAGCGCAGGCTGTGCAGGATCTCCGTGTGCTCTTGCTGGGCGTAGAGGCAGGGTTGTGGCAGGCGGCCGCCAGCCAAGGGGAGCCCCACCCCACCCTCCCAGGCGGGCTTCACCTCCATGAGGGTCTCCTCGGGGAGGTCAGGGGCCTCAAAGGTCACAGCCCCCTCCAGGTGGGCGGCCAGGGGGTCTCCAGCACTGCAGCAGTGGCCCGGGGCGGTGAGCTCAGGGGCCGCCTCGCCACAGGCCCCAGGCCCCAGGTGGCGGGCAGACGAGGAGCCGGCAGAGCCCAGAGAGCCCGAGGAGCCCACTGTGGGAGGCATAGCTGAGGGATGGTGCCCATGCCCCTCGTCCCCTGGATCCCAGCCCATCTGACTCCACACCAAGGCTCACATGGGCCTCAGTTTACCTCCCAGCAGGGCCAGAAGGGCTGGATCCTTGGGCCCCATCCAGCTCTGCACCCTCAATGTGCTCAAACCAGGGCCCGGCCAACACAGCACTGCCTTTCAGGCCAGTGGGACAGAGGCTGGTGCCCTGGACAGGGGCCTATGTCCTGGGGACGCCCCAACCACACCAGCACTGCATGGGAGCTCCCCCTGCTGACCCCAGGGAGCAGCCGTGGCCCAGCCCCGCCTCACCTGAGAACATCCGGCCACGGGGCCCCAGGGGTGGCGTAGTCCCGCTGGGGGGTGAGCCCACGGTGAACACCACAGGGGCTGGGCTGCTGGCGCCCCCAGCGCGGGCTCCAGGGTGCAAGTTCCCTCCGAAGCCAGCAGAGGGCGCTGGGAGACACAGGGAAGGGGTCAGGGTGCCCTCAGGGCGCACCACACACCCACTCCAGCCAGCCCCAGCCCAGGCGCACCGATGTCCATGGGCTTCTCTTGCAGGCTGTCGCTGCTGCCCGAGTCTGAGGCCTGTGTCCCAAATGCAGCCTTGAGGAGCAGGTCAGTGAGGCGGCTGGTGCTGAAGGATCTACGGGAGAGATGCGGCACTTCAGATGCTGGGCCTGGGCTCCCCAACGGCCCGACACCCCATCTCAGCTCATCTCCGGCGGCACGAGGCCAGCTCCAGGCCAGACTCCCCAGAACCATGGAGGGTGCAGAACAAGGCCTGGCATGTGCCTCCTGCCTGCCCCACTCACCGGCCAAAGGGGCCCTTGGTATCCTCAGCCGGCCGTAGGCCGGAGCCCAGCTGCTGTCCCTGGAAGGGCCCTGCCTGCGAGAGGTCCGGCAGCGTCCGGTTCCGGGGGGGTGTCACCACCACGCCCTGCCGGGCTAGCAGAGCCAAGAGGTTCTGGGAGCTGGGGACCTTGGGGAAGTTGAAGGAGGACAGCAGGTGATGCCCAGCCTGCTATGGCCCCATGTACACTGAGGCCCTCACCCACCTCGCCGGGGGTGGGCTGGGGGCCCCTGGATGGGAAATGGGGCTGTCCCCAGGGTGGCAGCCTGGCTTCCAAGGTGGCCTTCTGTGCCCAGCCTAGTCCACAACCTTGGGAAGGATGCCACTGAGCATGGGTGCAGGTTCCCTCAAAACGGGTGGTCTGAGGGCCTCAGCACAGAGAGGACCAGCCACGGGTCCCATCCTGAGACCTTCGACACGGAGCTGGGCCCTATGTCCCAGACCTCCCTCGCAGGGACTCCCAGGACACAGCCATGCCTAGAGGTCCAGGCAGGAGGCCGAAAACAGGGGTCTGGTCTCCCTCCCCTGGAGCTGGGAGGCTGGGCTGAGTGTTACCTTGGTGGGGGAGCCCAGGATGGGGGGCAGAGGGTTCCGCTGCAGGAAGTCAGGAAGCTTGGGTGAGCCTCGTAGGGGCCGGCAGGACTGCAGCACGGGGCCAGGTGGGGAAGGGCTGGGCTGCGGGGGGCTGAAGGTGGCTCCCAGCGGGTCTGTGGGGGGCTTGGGCAGCTTGGGGCAGACGACGTGCAGGTCCGACAGGTTGGGGGCGCTGTGCAGGCGGCAGCCCAGCCCAGGAGTGCGGGCCGAGTGCTCGGGCACAGAGGAGCCTGGGAACAGGACAGGCTAATTCCCAGGCTTAGGCACAGAGACGGGGCCACCGCACCGCACTGCAAAGGGGTCTCGGGTCTCCAGGAGCCCTTTCCCCTCCCAGCCGCAACGAGGGGACACAGGCTGCACCTACCTGGCCGTGGTGACCTGCTACTCCGCACCTCGGCTCCCTGCGGGGAGGGTGCCCTGCTCCAGCTGGGCCTCTCGGGGATGGTCCCAACTTGGGGAGCAGGTTCCAGGGTTAGAGCAGGCAGATGCAGGGGTCTCTGCCCACCCAGCCCAGGCCCAAGGCTGCGCGCACCCTGTGGGGATGGTGTGTAGGGCCGGCCTCCGCCCAGAGACAGCTTCCTGGCCAGGACAGCGGCATCGGCATGGGACGGAGGGGATGGGCTCACCCGGGCAAAGCCCAGGGGGCTGGTGCCGCCCGACCTGCGGCTGGCAGAGGACCTGGGGACGGGGCAAGCACAGTGTGAGGCCCCAGCACCTGTGCCACACCCGGCGGGGGCCACGGGGTGCCTCAGGGTCCTCCCCACAGCGCCAGGCATGGGAGAGGGCTGGCCGTGCCACGCCAGGGACACTCACCGGGGTGTGTGCTGCTGGGTGGGGGACTGCAGGTTCTGCTCAATGCGCTGGTAGTTGTGCACCTGAGTGGGGACAGGGATGGGGACCGAGGCGCCGTACCTGCTGCTGGAGAAGGTGCCAGCCCGGCTGCCGGGGAAGACATGGGCTCACAGGACTGCCGGAGGCCAGAGGCACCCAGGGCCTGTTCTGTGCACACCCGCCCCGGTGTCCGCTCCCCACCCCAGGGAGCAGGCAGGGCCACCCACATGTCTGCATGAGGACAGCACCTCCGGCCAGACCAGCACTGCTAGGCAGGGTGGCCGCGCCCCAGGATGCCCACCTGCCTACCCACTCGGCCCCACCCTCCTTACCCAGACGGGCTGGGTGAGCTACTGCAGGACGGGGAGGGGGACGGGGTCCGGCCATGGCTCTCCAGCCCCGCAGAGGCCACCAGCGAGCTCCTGCAGGGCAGAGGTGACAGATGGGGCATCACGGTACCGGCCCATCCTGGCCGCCTCCCCAGGCGGGGGGCACCAGCAACCCTGAAGCCCCGTTTCTCTCCCAAGAGGGCGGGTGCTCACCCACTGCAGAGCAGGCTGTCCAGCGGGGGCTTGGCACTGGCCGCCTCGGCCACCAGGTCACCTGCAGGGACAGAACATCTGGCAGGTGTCTGCCGCCCTACAGAGCCCACCTCACCACAGAGCCCTCGAGCCGAGTCCCACTTCCTTTTCCTAGAGGGGCTCCCAAATGGCTCTGGGGCAGTGCACAGCAGCACAGCACAGGCAGGGAGAGGTGGGCACACGTGGGCCCCAGCTCTCCCCTTGGACCGCCCTTCATCGCCCCTCACCAGCTCCAGGGTGGCAGGGAGGCCAGCCTGGCCCCGTGAAGCCTGGTTCCCACCCACTGTGAGCTGTGGCAGGGCCAGACCTGCAGGCCAGGCTGGAGCAGGGAGGAGCAGGCCTCTGAGGACGGCAGGGTAGGGCAGAGGCCACAGCCACGGAGTGGGGCAGCCTGTGATGACCCTGCCTGCCTGTGCCCAGCCACAAGTACAAGCCCCCCGGAGGCCACTACACGCACCACTGCCCTGACCTGGGAACTGAGCAGGGACCATGACGAAGTCGTCTGTGTCACAGGAGTCCTTGCTGCTGCCTCCTGAGTCCCGGGAGCCATGCAGGAAGCCAGCGGCATCCGCCGGGGAGGTCAGTGTCTTCTGCAGTGGCGCCATCTCCCCCAGGGACTGACAGAGAGCAGAGCCCAGCGCTCACAAGGACAGACGGACGCACAGGGTCTCCACAGACCTGCCCCACAGACGGGACCACCACCCCCAACCCCAGGCCAGCGAGTCCACATGCTCCTGGGGGAGGCCCGGACCCCAGCTGGGCTGCCTACGCCAGGCCACTCAGGGCCACTCACCGGCGGGGAGGCCAGGTGTGAGGTGGAGCTGCTGCTGGAGCTGCTGCCGGACCCTGAGCTCGGGTAGGAGGGCACAGGCACAGGCACAGGCGGGGCTGTGGGGGGCAAGGGCAGTCGGGGGCACCGTCTCCGCCCCGCGCAGGGGGCAGCGCTGCAGGGAGCCACTCCAGATGGCCGTCCCAGGCCAGGTGCACTCGAGCGCGGCCCCACAGTGCCCCAACCGGGAGGGGCACCAGCAAGGACCTCACCCCGAGCCACGACCTTGGCCTGCACTGACCCTCACACCATGGGGACAGGAGCCCGCGGCCAGCTTAGGTGACACCAGCCTGCATGGACCTCCAGCCTCCACCCTGTACCGCGGCCACCCCCACCCAGCACAAGACCTGACCACAGACTGCAAGCAACAGCGCCTCTGACCCTCAGGACTCACACTTCTTGACGGAGGCGCTGGCATCCAGGAAAGGGTGGTGGAAAAACTCATCTGAGGGAGGGAGAGTCAGGCCTCAGGACACCCTGTACCCGGCCTGGGGACCCATCTCATCCAGCCAGACCCACCGGAGCCAGGCTGTGGCCCCGCAGCTGCGGACCCCCAGCCCACCCACAGGTCCTCACCGAAGTCCATGCGGTCTTTATGGTTGCGCTGTAGCAGCGCGAGAAGCAGCTGCCGCAGGGGCGCCGAGGTCTCTCGGGGGATGCTGGGAGGGCAGAGCGATGAGCTGACGGGGCTGGGGCAGCCGGGGCAGGGGCAGCCGGGGACACCCGAGGGGAGGGGTGCTTACGCAGGGACCAGCGTCTTATTCTTCTCGTAGAACAGTCGCAGGTCCTGAGGGCTGCTGGCCTGCGAGGACAACGGTGAGCCCAGTGCCAGGCAGCCCTGCCCCTGCCACAGCCTGGCACCGGGCCCGCCCTGATGGCTCTGGGGCCACAGGCAGCAGGAGCCCACTCCGTGCTGTGCCCTCCCTTGCTGCTGGGGCACCTGGGCACCTAGCGTGGGGGCCATGAAGATAATGCTCGTGGGGAGCAGGCGACCCCAGGGTTTGGTGCCCCCGGGCGGGCCCCTCACCGGGTGCCTGTGCCGGTGCCTGCAGGGGACAGGTCGGCTTCCGGGCACCCGTGCCCCAGCTCACAGCCAGCCCAGTGCCCCCAGCCCGACGGACCCCTCCCACCCATGCTGAGACCCGGCAGCCTCGCTCCCCTGCAGGCCACAGGCCTTGCCCACCTGAAAGGGGGCCCTCCCGGTCAGGCACTGGTAGACGACGGTGCCGATGCTCCACAGGTCCGCCTTGGCGCCGTAGTGCTGGGACAGGATCACCTCGGGGGCCTGCGGGCCGGGGCCAGGTTGGGGCCGCGGCACAGAAGCCACCTGGAGCACAGCGACCCGGAGCAGGTGCCACCACCCGGGGTGGCCTCAGAAGGGGTCGGCCCGCACCAGGGCCGCACACGTGCAGGGCGTGGAGGCACCTACCATGTACATGGGGGAGCCGCACAGCGTGGCCGCCATCATGTTGCTCTGCAGATAGCGGGCGAACCCGAAGTCAGCTGTGGAGAGAGACGCGTCAGAAGCCAGGAGAGCACAGCACAGCTGGGTCCCTGCAGCAGGGGCTCAGCGCCCAGGGCTCCCCGTCCAGGGGTCACCGTCCAGGGGCTCAGCGCCCAGGGGTCACCGTCTAGGGGTCACCGTCCAGGGGCTCAGCGCCCAGGGGTCACCATCCAGG